ACTAGCCAGAAAGTGTGATAACTCTTAATTTCTGAAGCAGGTTATGAGCAGAATGAGATGGTCAGCAAGCAGAAGAAAGAAGCTTTGTAGATTTTGCTGTGGTCAGATTATATTGATTTCCTGTTTCTTTTAAGTAGTTGTTTAACATCGAATTTTCTCTGAGTTTTAACATTAGTGTGAGGAAAAAAACACTCCAATATAAGAAGGTGTAGGATGGGCATCTTAACAGCGGGTGCCTTAACATTTGTTCTTTTGTATTCTGCTAAATTCAAGTTCTTATTTCAACACTGCATTAATGTAGGGATTCAGAGCTAATTATAAGAGGAGTGGATAACAGCTTGTTTTGCCTGTGAGCTTACACTCATAYTTTTGGTAGTAGGGAAGGTCAGTAGGCTGATTAGGAGAATCTGTTTCCTGGATGTCCAAAATTAAAAAAGATAGTCATGAAAGTTGTTGAGCATTTTACAAAGATATCCCCTTTTGCTGCTGTGAAGTGGTAGCTTGAGTGGAAAACTGAGAAATATGTTACTCCTAACACATGTTATAAGATTCAAGAAAAGACAGTTGTTTAAATTTCTTCGTTCCTCCTGTCTTCCTGCCTTCTTTCTGTGGATTCTGATTGTTTCTGGCTTCAAGCGACTGATTCCCTAATAACTGTTTTATTGTTTTTGGTCTTCCAAAGCAGAAGTGAAGTTACTGTGCACAAACATGAAAATGCTTTGGTTCAAGTGGTGCTGGTGATGCTCCAGGTTTGATGCCACTTWTAGCAATGAAATTCTAGTCTGTTGTAGTGGGCAATGCAAAAACTAACTGTTGGTGTGTGTGCAGGTTTTTATGCTCATTTACCTGAATAGTTACYGTGCAAACTATCTAAATACTAGAAACCCCCTTTTTTTCCCTAACCCAGGACCCCTTAGGACAGAGGTCCTGCCAGTAATGTCTCTTGTATTGTGTGAGCCAGTAGAGATCTGCAGGGCTTTTGATCCATGAGAAGGGTCCTTACCACAATATCTAAAGGAGGAAAGAAAAGGTACCTTTAACAGGTAACAGGAGGAGAAAGAAACCCAAGTGCTTTGCTGTCCTTTTCTACATGGTCATTGTGTGGCCTGTGGTTCTGCAGTTGGAGCCTCTATGCTGCTGTTGGTCYTCATGCCTTACGAGAGGCGTGCTGTTCATGCTGCTGCATGAGGCTCCTGAAACTTGCTCAGACAGAGCCCACGGTACCATTAAAGGCTTTTACAGGGCTCCCCGCATGTCACGTTGTGCACAGCTCACTGTATTGGCTCTTAAAACTGCCTTGGGGTATAATGCCAGGCCCCCCAGTAGCAGCTCCCGAGGGTGGGTCCTCTTGCCCAGCGTGCCCCCTTGTCAGCAAGACGTTGTGATTGCTGGCCCTGACACTTCAGATACCAGAGCACCTGCCTTGCTGGGTTTCCTCAATGAGTAATGCGTGGAAAAGAGAAAGATAAAGTAGAATACTGAAACCTGTAGTGGCCCTGTATTTCTGATTTGTGGGTTTTCTGCTTGTCCATGTTGGCGTGTGAGACAATCCTTCCTCGGCTTTTGGAGGGCAAAAAGGCAAAACGGAGAATAAAAGGCAGTGCTAGAAGAGGAAGGGGTGAACTTAAGGATACGGTTGAACGTACTTGAATCCTTTCAATATGTGGGAAATGCCAGCCAGGCCTAAGAAGTTTGATTTAGTCCCAACGCCCTTTATATAGGTTGCCTGTAGCAAACTGATTGATAGGGAGCTCYGCTTTTGGTTAGCGCGGGTCTGTTAGACACGGAAGCAGGCCGCTTCCAGATGTCATTTCCCAGAGCCATTCCAAGGCTTAGGGCTTCTCAGGGAATAGCAAAGCAGGGTGCCAGTAGTCACAGCTTCCCAACTCAGGGTGTTCACTGAGAGGTCCTTGCCCAGCAAGGAGGATGTGTGGGGCTTGGAGAACTCTGCGTTGTGGTKGCGGGAGCCCATCAGCTTGGGCCCCTTGGCCAGCGCCTTGCTGTGCGTGCTTGCCAACACGTGGCTCGTGTTATTTTTACATTGTTGTTCTTGGGATTTGGTGTGTTGACTAATCTGCTGTTGCAGGGTTGCATCACTGAGGCCAAGCCTGGCAATGTTCTCATAAAAGCTATATAAATTGTTAACACTAGTGTAAGTGTATGCAAGCACATACAATTTACCTACAATGTAAGAGCAATAATTTATATACCATATCCACATAATGCTATATGAAATTACATACATTGGTTTATTACTACTTATGTAACTGTATGATCTCAGGAAGTTAGCTAAACAGTTGTGAAAAGTTTGCCTGTGTTATGATGGCTTTTCAGTGATTATCCCATTGCCACGGTGTTCTTCTGTTTGCTTGGCTGTTGGTTTATTGATGTGGTTGTTTTGTTTTATTTATTAGTAACAATGATTACAGGTTTTGTGTCCAATTAAGTTCTTAATGCTACTCCGTTAGAAAGGAAATCCAGCCTCCTAGAAACAAATTGCCAACAGTCAGGTCCAAATAGAAAGTTTGAATGGCTGGGAAAATCGCCGCAATATTTTTGCAACACCATATATGGCACTTTTATGCAGGTTGGAGAAGGCACTATTGATTTGACAGATGCTGTGAGGTCTTTGGAGGAATCCTGAATTAACTGTGCATGCTTAGGCACTCAGATTATTTGAAACTAATTTTTCAAAATTGCAAGAATTTACAAGTATGATCACCAGTGTGCACATGATGCGAGCTCCTAGCAAGTGCATTTAATGGTATATGCTCTTTTTTAATAGTACAAAACTCAAGCCTTTTRGCAAGAATCAAGTGCAAATCTTCCATGTTTGTTGCAGAGCAGCTTCTCAGGCAAACAGTCCTCAAGATGTGAGAGGGGTTGTCTATATCTTAATATGAAATCATGAGAGTGCTCTTGCCACCCAGGGTGGGAGGCACTAGCAGATGTGTGGGGTTGGGTTTCTGCAGACAGGTGGCCGTGATGACGAGGGTAAGAATGCCTTGGGAGCAATATATAGCAAGTGCTCTTCCCAAATGGGGGAAGATCAAACAGCAGGAAGCTGCTTGCTTGCCTGTAATACGAAGCCTGGCTTCTTCTCTTGGTTTGGCTCCTCTGTTGAAGTGTTCCCGGTCACACTCCRTGTTGAGCTGCTGGTGTTGCTGGCTCCCTCCTGTTGCTACTTGCTCAACGTGACCGAGCGGAGGACGGCGCTCTCTGGGGTACATCCAGCCTGCCTGTCAGCTGGGGTTCTCAGCATCAAGTGTAGTGGCCACTGGCGAACGGTGACTTGACGTGTTGCAGTATTCAAGCGTTTCCTAGAGGCTTCATTTTGAAATGCTTGTAATGTCAGAAGGATGAAGGCAGACACCTTGAAAAAACTGAAATGTAACCTCAGAGTAATGATGAGGGGGTCTATGTGATTAATTTTTTTTAGTTGTGCTTCATGTAGTGCTAGATGCATATGTTTGAGCTAACACAGTGGAAAAAAACATTCCTTCTATTTTAGTAGCTTATACTAGCAATATATTTGGCCTATTTTCCAGGGGCATATGGGAAGTCTTACTGCTTGGGTGTTCYTCTATTTCCTTAAAGGAAAGAACTAGTATAAAGAAATTCCTTTTTTGTTTATGTGGATAAGTTGCACATCAGTGGGTGGAAGGAAAAAGGCTAAAAATATTCTTATGCCTGCATGCTAAATTATAGCTAGTACAAACACTGTTACGTGTGATCTTTTACATCGGTTTTGTGGCAAACTCAAAGGTACGACCACAGATCCGATTYTGATCAGATCAGTGCAAGTGATATATGGCCACTTGACTGGTGCTGATGAAAGTCAGCCTGAGAATGGTTCTTAAAAATCTACATCTTCTTGATAGGAAGTCAAAGAAGTCTTCTGAGTCATCCTAGTCTTGAAGGAAATCATGTTTTAGCTGGGTTTCTAGTTGTCCTTAGTCTTCTGTAGTGTCCTTTTGTACTGGGAATTTGCTGGTTTAGGACATCAGTGTTAAAAGGAAATTGGCTACTTGAGAAGACATTTTTGAACAGTATGTCTATAACGGGGGCGTGCAACCAGCTGTCTGCAATAAATGTGCTCCAGTGTCCCTCGGGATAACTTCAGAGAGCAAGGGAGGGCAGGGAGCAAGGGGTGGGCAGTGAGCAGTCTGCTAGTCCTGCTATGCTATGTTTAGGTTCCTTAGAGTTTAGGATGTTAGGAGTTTATAACTGTGCAACATCACGAGCTTGCAGCCKGTGCGTGTTTTTCAGATGTTGCCAGATAATAATTATGAATTACACTGGGTCCATTGATGAGGACCCAGTATTGGTGGGGAACAGTGCATGCAGATGCATGGCTTGGCCTGACCTGCATGTCTTTGCAGCGTGGCTGCTGGGTTCTGCCTTTTGTGGGGGATTTTGGTTGCTGTTCAGTAGCAGSTGGCACTAGTAGCATTTTTGTCTAGCTGCATTTCAGAAGGATAACTAGTGTTTAGGCTTTACTGCACGTGCGCTAGAATGTAGTCAGATCTGTGCTTGAGCAGACATGAATCCTTTCGCTTGTGCTGAAGCGCTCATAGAAGACATCAATGCATCTGGGCCCAGTCGCTCTTACTCAAGTGACTAACCCAATTGATTGGRTTGTTTAGTAACAGGAAACACCATGTCAGCAGGATCTTAATTATTAAATCCAGATGTCAATTATTTAATCTGAGCAATATATAAGCTTTATGATTAATGCGTAGCAGTAGATCAAAACATCAACTTCTGCATGTCTGAGCAGAAAAGCTGGAAGAGGAAAAAGGTGGTGCTTTATGTATGATGTTGTACCATCTCTGCCAAGTGATTACTGTTTTATACAAGTCTCTGTAAGGAATGTGCCACAGCATGACAATAGCCAAACTGTTAGCTATCAGTTCTCTCTAGTGTGACTGAATTGCAACCTTTATGTTAAATGCACCATATTGAATGTAACTGATGCATCTTTCTCTGCTCTGTTGTAGGTTATGCAATTTTACTTGAACTGCAAGGCAAGAAAATTTCTCGAAGACTAAGAGGTCTTCAGGTAAGGTCTGAATTAAGCCCTTTTTTATAGAGACTATGTTTATTAACAGGCAGCAGCATGAAATCTAAGCAGAGGACAGTTTAAAGAAAAATTTTTGATTAGTTTTGAATACTTGATACCTAAGAAATTTCAGAAAAGGAAGGGTAAAGGGTTGTCTTCTGATAATGTAATGGGACACAACTGAGGAGCTGCCTAGAAGTAAAGGGCAACCCTTGGATATGGAGTTTGAGCAGCACAACCCTAGTGCACACTGGTGGTCACTGTCCAGCTCAGATTTTCAGAAGGGCTTTGGAAGACCTAGACTTCGTGTTCAGGAAATGTCCTTTAGTCCCCTAGGAGTTACTGCTAAGCAGTAGCATGGCCAGCAAGTTGAGTTGTCATTCGTTGGCTGATCTCTCCCGTGGGACAAGCGAGCAGTAGCTCTGCGGAGGAAGAAATCAGCAGCTCTTTGTTCAAACAATCTGTTAAAACTCCTGGCTTGTGCRTAAGGAAAAGGATTTGAGGCTTTTATGGAGGATTGTTGAAAGATGAAATAATTACCCCATTCATTATGGGAGAAGTCCTGATTTGCTGGAGATGGTGCTGTAATGCCATATAATTGGAGCTGACACAAAAATAAAATAGAAGCTTTATTTTTTCAACCTTGCCCTATAATGAGGTGGCTTACACTTTTTTTAACTTATAATGCAGAGTGGCACAATACAATGCAGGTAAGCAAAATATCCATCTCTGGATAAAAGAGGTGAGCATCCACAAGTTTGGTAGCTACTTAAAAGAATAAAGAGGTAACAAGTCATTAACTTAGAAGCTGATAGACTAGGTTTCCAAGCTAATGAAAACTCTCCCAGCTGTCTTATACACAGCATCTTTGCCATCCGCTTCCTTCCTGCCATTAAAATACATCTCTTCTTAGAACTTAAAAACCAAATGCAGAGAGTTCTTGAAATGGGGTAGTAGTTAAAAATCTTACCAACGTATAACTGTTCTTGACCCAATGTTCTATTACCTTGCTCAAGAACCATAAAGAGCTTGAAATTGAGAAATTGTGTTGAAATTCCTTTGGGCTTGCATTCTTGGAACTTTTCCTAGAGCAATTTCACTACTTAATTTGCATTTGGTGTTAGAAATTTTTATAAGACTCTGGTGCTTTGTTAGCTATGCCTAGGTTTTGAAAGGAAAAAGAATGAATGCCTGTTAAGTTTAAAATAAAATTGTAGCCTTCTCTTGTAAAAATGGCCATATTAGCATTGAAGTGCCAGTAAGTTCCATGGAGGTATTAAAAAAATAAAAAACTATCTGTTGTCTTCCAAACCTTATAATCAAAACAAATGCAYGGTGCATACTTTTTTGTCTTATTTTAAGCTCTCTTTTTATAGGAACTTGGTATATAGGGTTTTTTTGAGACCATTAAAAAAGTTACTCATTTTCTCTGTTCACTTCCAAATTTTGTCATGCCATTCCTGTAGAAAATGATTATTTTTCTAGTCGGAGGTTCAAGCAAGTTTTAAACCAAGTTTAAAAATACTTYCTTTTGCAATAAAGTTTGTGTTTTGCTATTGGTTTTAAAAACATGGAAAGCTCTCGATCTCTTTACCCCACATAACTGTGATAGCAAATGCTCAGCAAATGCTGAGCCTACTTCTTCACTGTCCTTGTTTACTGTTTATCTCCTTGAACGGGAATAAAAGTGAGTACAAAGATAAGAGCTCCAATTTAATTGCACAGATTATGAATTGTATTTAATCATATATCTGCCTAGATGGTTTTACAGCTTCACACTGAAGACATGCTGAAGGTCAGTGAATTACTCAGGACTTAGAATGCCTGTCTGGAATAAGGGGGTATGTTGGGCATTTTGTGTCATGTGCCAAGTTTGTATTATGTGCCAGTTCAACCACCTTGGAAAGAGTTTTAGTAAACAGAACTTAAATATATATGTGTGTGTGTAGATATTTTCCTATGTAATTTTTTACTAGGTGTTTATTTTTCAGATTATACTTGCACAATACAATAATTTTGGACTGTATGCACTGCACTGCAAAGTTCTGTCTCTAACATGCCACATTAGATTCTCCCATACTGGCAATAATGTCTTAACACTTGAYCGTTTATAATTCCAGCCAAACTTTATTTGCCACTTCAATGACTGCTTAAATTTTGAAAGCTTGAAGTAGCTCCAGTGGATTGCACTGGTTGCAAGTACCACTGGTTTTCCAGTATGGGAAACAGTTGTGCTTCAAAGACTTTATGCAAGTGTTTTATTGTATATTTGCACAATTATTTATTACTGGAAAAATCAGTGAAATTAAATGGTAGGCAAAAATGATAGGCCTGGACCTTCATGTGTTGTGCATCTGAAAAGAACATTTGAACTGGGCTTTACGAAGGRCTTTAAGAACACGATCATAGTATTCTACAACTATTTCTTTTATGTGATTTCAGCATTAAACTTAGCTTCAGCAACTGAAATAATTTTCTGCTAAGGTTTCCCCTCTCAAGCTAGCCTTGCGGTGGGCACATGAGGAAAGAGATGGCATTTCCAGGGATGCCAAGGTCAAAACTCTCTGAAAAGGGTTCTTGCTCTTCCTTCTGAATCCTTTTCCTAGATGCAATTTGCTGACAGGACAGTTAACTTATTTACTAGCATTTCTAGGACACATTCTGCCAAGTCCTGCTTCCAGAGCTGCATCTTCATGTCGGTGAGCTCTCCTGCGTGTGCAACCTGGCTCATGTTTATGGCCATAGGAGGATGAGCCCTAACTGCCTTTCCCTGCTGAATGAGAGACATTGGAAATTGATATCTCCTCTGGGAACAAACGGAGTAAATCTACACAGTATGAAACTTTTAAGCAAGTTTTACCATACGCCTTGGTATCATAATTTTAAATTAGATTTGCTCAAAATGGAATTCCAGATTCAAGCTGACATCATAATATATGACCTCCAGTAGCTGGAAAAATTGAAAACATGAGACCGAGGGCATTAATTGTTGAATAGTTCATATACTTGCCCTGAATGTTCTTCTGAAATGTTAACACTGTTTTATTATATCCAAAAACAATTTGAAGTCTAAATTTATCCATATTGTCAGTACCTCAGAGAAGGTATTGAGGCTCATTTTATTATGCTTACCTCTGACCCAGACGTTTTGAGGATTTACTTAAGTGTGCAGAACTGCTGCCGTGTGTAACCTGCTGCTCCTAGTGAGGCTGAGAACGTGAGCACAATTGTAGGCTTCTGATTTGGCAGCAAGACCTGTGAGTTCCCAAACTGGTAGGTATGTACGGATGYAGTTGCAGGAGAACGTGTAAAAGGGCCTCAGCGTAGATACACCTGCAAAGTTATGAGGTGTTTTTTTTTGTTTTTAGCAGTTTTGATTTTGCTTTGGAAAGCGACTTCTAGCTAATTTTTTTTTGTAAAGGTTAGTTGTTGTAGTGTTGAATGTATTTGTTCATTAGTGTTTAATATGGGGTATAGTGAAAGCAAATTAATTTACTGGATATATGTATCTGACCAGGATTATAATTAAGAGGAACTTCCAAGTAATTTGATAGAATCACAGTTTTGAAATATTTTGTTGCTGCACCCATGTTTGGAATCTAATGAGATTTTCATTGATTTCTCTTTTCTTCATTTGTCATTAGTGTTTTTAGTAGTGTAATATTCAGAATTCAGTGGAGGTTCCCAAAGAAATAAATGTTGGATTAACTTGGAGTCTATAATGCCACCTCTAAAATATATTTACTTTTTATGCTACTTCATTAGTGTGATATACTCATAATTTGAGTTCAAATGTAGGTGACCTGATTGCAGTGTGAAAAAACACAAAGGGAGGAGGAGTCATCACTTTCCAAACTGTTCACCTGCTACTACTGAGTAATTTGATGACTCTCTAGTCTTGAAGTTTATAGCTCTTGCTTTTTCTGCTCTCCTCAAATAAAAGTTAAAGCTTTGCCTGTCATTTTGTATCTGTTTTGTTTTAATTGCATTTTTATCGTGACTTAAAAGTACTGAACGCGATTGGTCTTGTTTTACTTGTCCAAGTCAGCTTGAATGCTTGAAGGAGTTGGGGTCAAAATGTAGCATATTTTGACTCCATATTAGCRGAAATATTTGCATATTGTGCCAAGTGGTCTTGCATGTGCTGGACATACTTAGGCCACCATCAGAAGAACATTTCTAACAGTAGCCTGAGGGATGAAGGTGTTGCTTACCAGAAGTGGGACAACATAAAGGTTACTTGTGAGACATCCAGATGGCTGCAAAGTGTCTGTTTTCTACTACTAACTCTGCTTGTTTTAACATACTGCAGGGAAGAAGAGCAAAAGGCTGTTGCAGGCCTTGTGCTTGTGGTTTGGTGTGGTACATGAGCAAGAGGTGCAGACTCATTAGGGCCAGGATTAGTGYTGAGTAGGTGCCCAACACCTGAGGCCTGGTGGTAGCTCAAGCCAGAGGCAGGCTTGGCTCCCACCCCAGCTGTGTCGAGCTCCTGGTTTTAATTCCCATGTTCGTGGAGAGGAAACACCTACCCTTCCTCATGAAAATAAGTTTATATTGGTGTTTAAATACCTGATTTGTCATTTCAGAACCCTCTCATGGGAGAATTTGTTTCCCATATAGGCCAAGCCAGGCGTTTCAATATAGCTTTAGGTGCTTTTTGTAGGTGAAAATGAGCCTAGTTGACAGTGGGCTGCTTGTAGCTTTTGTGTTCTGCTTTATTGGGCAGTTCCAGTAGTAAACTGAACTTATTCAAGGAACTCTATGAAAAAGACCCTAATTGCCTGCGCTCAGTTATATTTTCAAAGAACTCCACTCTTTGCCTGTTTTTAGTTTAATGCAAGGTACATGGTGCAACTTGTATACGCATATTGTTTAAAGGCTTTCAATGGCCTGCCTGTCTGATCCATTTTAAGATTCCAGCCTTTTTCCATGACATSATTATTATAACAGACTTCCTAGAAAATATGAACAGCTGCTGTATATTTTTT